CTTTCCCCAGGTAGCACTGGGGAAAGCAGAAAATCAAATATGTGAGGGGGAAAAGACAGTTGCTGTGGCTGACTGGTCAGAGCTGGACTCGTGGCTGTCAGTACAAGGCTAAGAGCTTGCATGAATATGAATCTCTGACTCCCAAAGGAGCGATATGGTTGATGCAGTGAGCTTTTTGAGGGTGATCTCTGGTGTGTTTTGGGCATCAGGAGACTTCTCAAGGTAGAAGGAAAGAAGTTTAGTTGTATGCAGGTACAGGAAAGGATGTCAGAGAGATGCTAGAGGGGACAAATCAGTGAGGTTATGACAGTATACCCAGAAACCGAGTATTACCCAGACGGATGCCCAGAAAGTGGGCAAGCTGGTGCCCATATAGGGGGTTTAAGCAGCTGGAAAGCTGTGGGTGGTGACTGTAATTATAAGGACGGTGGCAAGCAGAAAGAAAACACAGGAGCTGTGTGTTATGGTGAGCTTAACGGTACAGGCAGAGACTGAGGAGGAAGAGCCAAAAACAGATTTAGTGTGGGCAGAAAGAGAAGGGGTTTGCAGGAGAGTCTGACCTAGGGAATGGGTTTGGCTTGTGATTTGGGGCAATGTGATTCTCCAAAGAATGTTAGAAAGAGCTATCAGAGGTACAACCAGGCAGAAATGATGGTCGGATTAGAGTCTGTGCAAAATATCATACTCTTGTAACAAAGCCATAGAAACCTACCATGAGTTGAAAGCTTGCTGCCTTCCTCACAGGTGTGGATAGAGGGCGGTTGGTGTTTTTTAAACAGCTGAAAGTCAAAGGCAGCTCCCTGGGAGCTCCTGTTCCTGTGCCCACAGCTTGTTTGTGAGGCCTGGTGGATGGACTGGCTTATGGACCATTCCCATTGCCATGGGAGGACTACAAGAACATCCCTCTCAACATTTAATCTGTTTTTTCAATCTCTTTTTTCAATATTCACTTTAGCTTTACTAAATGATATAGTAAATGTTCCTAGTCTTACTGGTTATAGCAATTACTCTTGTAAATTCTACATCAGCAACATCACCTTAGTTGAATTACTGCAGCAGCACAATTTTATCACTGCTTTATCCAAATGCCTGGTACTCTGCCCACACATTCCAGTCCAACAGTTCAGTGTAATTAATCTGGGGAAAAAGATGTAACATATAGCTTAGCCTCTTTCTAGGGGTGATTGGGCAGTAAAGCTCCCTGTAGAGGCTCTTGGAGCGTGATTTTCCTTTTTTTGCTTTCAGATTTTTAGCTCTGCTCCGATGTGACAGGACCAGCAATGGGAGTGACAGATACAGAATTGAAAATCTGGGAGAAGCCAGTCCTAGATGCTCAGGTGGAAGAAGCGAACTCAGGGGCAAACATTCCTCAGGAGGAGGCAGCAGATCCCAGAGCTCGTGACGTCTGAATCTTTGGGCAAAAGCTGTGGTTTTCAGTGGTGTTGGGAAGAGGTGACTTCAGATTTCCTAACCACATCAACATTCAGAGGAGAAGGAAGAGGTGAAGTGAATGCAAGGGTGGGTGTAGGAGATGAAAGGATGCTTTATGTTGTGAGAGGCACAGAGAAGGGGATGCGAGGGAGAACAGGGGATCAGCTGGGATTTGGCTTTGAAGCCAGAGGAGGAGAGCAGAGTGAATTTGCAGGTTTGTGCTCCTTTTCCCTTGCTAGGTGTCACTATAGTTGGAGCACGGTTATGTGGTGCTAACACAGAGCCCAGTGTCCTTCCTGCTCTGCTGTTAATGGTGTAGAGGGGAGAGCAGCGAACAAAGCCTGCCACGCTCCCGCTGTGTGGCTCTTTCTGCATTGGGAAGATGGCACTTTTCATGCATGTGGAGCAATGGTGGAGCTGCTAAGTTCTCCTGGGTTTTTTTTGGCTCCTTTGGACAGGAATTTGAAAGCTTAACGCAGCCTATTGTGCTGGAAGACGGGCAGGCAAGCTCTCCATAGCAACTCTTCCTATATACAAAGCACCATATGGTTTTTTAGGAGGGGGAGGGAATGAATCAAGTAGAAAAGTCAACCTTTGTTTGTCGCTTTGTTTGTCTTTGCTCTGAGTGGAGCGAGTGGCTCCGACTTGGGAGCGTGGGGATGGGAAATGCTTGGTGGTCCCTGCTGTCTCCTGGTCACAGCTCCTGCTGAACAGGCCACTGGCAAGTGTGCAGCTCTGACCTTGAGACCTGGAAAAAGGATTTTTGCTTTTTGAAGTTCACAGCTTGCTGTGAAAGCAGATCATCTCTGCAAAGAGACCCCTCCTCAGCGTGCTTGCTCCGCAAACAGATGGAGCGACCAACCGTCTCGTTCCCCTCTGCACTAAGAAACGCCCGAAGGGCTGGGAATGCTCCAGGAGCAGTGTAGGAAACGCTTGATTTAGGCAAGAATTATAATGGAGGTAGTTGCTGTCAGGCAGTAGCGGTGAGATGCTTGTGCTTTGTCTGCCCGCAGCTTTGTACCTCAGCTTCCAAAAGGAACTAGAAACCTTTGCTTGATGGAAAATCCTCCCTTTGCAGCAGGGTCCTTTGGAAGGAATGAGCTGAATAAATAGCTTTATCTGTGTCTGTGGAAAATCAGGACCCTTCTGTGTGTGCCTCTTTTTTTGGCAGAGGGGAAATAAGCAGAAGGGAGCAGTCCCATGCTGGCTCCTTCCGCCTTCGGCGTGCTCTGACGTTTCCTGGAGCTGTTGCAGCAATGCCACCGGTAGCACTGGAAATGGTCTCACAGGATGGACACCAGTAAGGCTGCATCTGAGCTGCCTGGCCCTGCGGGGGGGAGATACTAGATTAGGTAGCAAATGCCTCTGGCAGCCACCCAGCGCCCAGCTGGTTGGCTTGAGTCACGCCATGGTCAGCTCAAGCATTCAACTGCTAACCGTGCTGAAGAATAAGTCCTTGTACTGTACTGAGGCCACAGAGGTGTGTGGAGTACAGGACTGGGACCTGGGAACCCTGAGGGGCAGCACCCTGGCCAGGGCATGGGGAGCAGCGCATGCGGAGTGGGCCCCTGTGAGCTGATCCAACTGGGACCTCCAAACAGCACGTGGACGTTCCTGTCCTGGAGCACGTTAGTCCTCTGCTTGAAGGTGGCCATCACCTGAGCGGCATGGTCTGTAGTCTGTAAGAGGTGTGGTTGTCTCCTCTGTTTTGGTGATGTGACATAGATTGTCTGTTGAATTTTCCCAAAGTAGTGGGCAAAGGCTCCTTTCTGAGTGTGACTCTGGGGTGTTCCTGTGGCTTTGCAGCCAGCAGGTCCCTGGGGGACCTGCGGGACAGGGCTGGATTCCTTGCTGTCTGCAACGAGGCTCTCTAACGTCAAAATAGAGACTGGAATCATTAATGGCAAGTCTCCTTTTGATTGCAGGCTGCAGTGTGCTCTGTCCAGCCAGGCTGAGCAGACATCAGCCTAGGCAAAGCGCAGCAGCTCGAACCGCAGGGTGGAGCTGTGGAGGTCAGCATGGAGTAATGTTTGCAGGGGAGGTCAATGCAATCTTAAGATACTTAAACGTGCTCAAACTGTTAGCAGGGTAGGTGGCCCAAGGTGGGCTTACCTTGAACGGTGTGCTTGTGCACCAACTTTTCCACACGCTATCTCACTGCCTTGCTCAGGGTTACAAGCCAAAAGACCCCAACAGTTGATAAAACAGCTCATAGCAGTGCTACTCGCCCAGCGCTGCAACTGAGGGAAGCAGTGGGGATATTGAAGTCATAAACTGCAAATGAGCACTTTTCATCCACTGAAGCGATGACCCCGCCATGTGCTTGCTGTAGAACACCTTGTTATACACCAGGTTCTGGAAAAGTAATTCAGCTTGTTGCTGGTTCTGATTTATAGTCTTGCTAGCGAGAGCTGCCTGTTCGGGTTAGGGAAGGTGTCACTTCTGAGAATGACACGTGTTTGGGTTAGCCCTGCTCCCACAACTTGACAGCCCTGGGCTGGAGATATCCACCAAGTGGGTGGCTCCAGCATCTCCTGGAGCCTTGACTGTGTGTGCATTTAATGGCCAGCTGCAGGAAGCACTGAGGAGGGTGTTTGGGGATGTTGTGTAAGTTGGGGGGGGGGTGTCACTGCAAGCCTGCCTTCTTGCTCTGTCCTGTGTCCTAATCACTTCATACTGGCCATGCAGATCCATTAATGAAAAACAGCCCTTGATGTTTGGAGATGGACTTGAAGCGGGAGTGGTTCTGAGTCCTCACTGTGACTATATAAGGAATATGCCCTTTGAAAGTGGTTATGTCTGATCCTATCTGGGTGGCTGGGCTGCTCCACTGCAGCAAAGCTTAATATGACTTGTGTGCCCCTCTGGTTTGGACTCCAGCCTGGAAGCACTTTGAATTGGCTGCGCTGCCAGCCTGCTGGGAAACCACTAGCCTGACGGACGCAGAAAGCAGACTGCGCTTTGTAGCTCTTCGCTCGTCATCTGCCCCCCTCAGCCGTAAAAGGAGAGCCTGTCCCTCCCCAAATCCTGCGCGATTGCAGAGCTTCCCTGGGAGCACTGACATAATGACTCCCTCTGCCTGGCCAAGTTTATCTACATCAGACAGACCTAGTGCCGCAATGTATGCCGCTCCAAGGCATGCGGTTTTGAGCCTGCTATTTATTTTGGGACTACAGCATCTGATCTTGATTTGGTGCTTCCAGGCTGTGATCTAGGTCGTGTGCTGGATCGGGCATTAGCTGTTGCTTGAGGGAGCCTGGGGAGTTTACGCTCGCTTCCTTGGCATACGGGCTCAGAGAAATTCCTCTCCACTGTGCTGCGGATGTCTGTTTAGGGGTGGGGAGGAGTAATTTTGGAAGAAGTCTCCTTGAAAGCCTCCTATTTTCCTGTTCTCCTGTGAGGGTGGCTCCTGATGTGGCTGGTTGCAGAAGGAACGGTGGATGATAAAAGCTTTGGTGCAGCCTGCTTTCTCTACTGTTCCCATGGTAGTTGGCTGTCACACACAGAACTAATGTATTCCCTGCCCACAGCAGGATTAAAGCCTTCTGGGAGAAGAATAAGAGGATGCAGGAGAATAACGATAGGGGAGGAATCGGGAAAAGGAAGAGAGACCATGGCAGGGCCAGCGCGTGGTGAGAGGGTAGGGAGGAATCTAGGTGCTAGCTCCAGCTGAGCTGGAAAGGGAATCCTCGGACCTCTGCCAGGGAACAGCGTCCAGATTGCCTTCCCCCCTCGGTGGCGTTGGGATGCCTGGAAACCCAGGTCCTTTCTGAAAGCTGAAGGCACTGGTGCGTGCAAGAGGCAGTTCTTGTCCTTCTGCTTCCTTGGCTCCCAAAGTTGCCCTTTATTTCAGGGTGCAGGTTTCCTTTTGGTGATTCTCTGTCTCTTTTTTATTTTCCTCTGCAGATCCCGACAGCCAGTTGTATGATATGGGATATACCCCTGAGGAGGAAACTTCGACCTGTCCTGATGAGTTTGATGACTTTGTCACGTTTGAGGCAAGTATTGAGTGCTGTAAATACCCACGAGTGCTAGCTGTACGTAGCCTGAGGCTTGAACGCAGAGGGTATGGCTGGTGGAGAAGAGCGTTTGCTGTGACAGGGCTCAGGGATGCTCAACCCATCGTACAAGCAAATTCTTTGATCTGTAGGTGAATGGGCCAGAGAACTTGCAGCAAGCATTTCATGCTGTTTAACTTAAAAATCGGTGTTAACACAAAAATCCAGTCGGTGCTAGTGCGCTTTTGGCTTGCAGGATGCCAGAGCATGTGACCTGGTTGAAGGAATCCTCTTTGTGGTGAAGTGCTAGCGATGTGGGAGAGGTGCCTGCTGCTGTTGTGTGTGTCTCGGTGCTGCAGTTTCAGAGGTTGAAGATGTACCAGCCAGGAGCTGGCCTCAAAGGCATGGTGGAGCCATAAGGCATTGACACTCGCTGCTGTCCTGCCAATAAATGGCAGAGCAGAGGGCAAAATGTGGATTTCTTCTTTTTTTTTGCATACTGGGTGGGGTTTTTTTTTTTTTTTTAAACAAAAGGGAAAAAGCGTGGCCTCCATCTCTCAGTTCCCTTCTGGATTCCTTAGCACAGGAACATATTGCAATACGTGTCCTTTATCTGTTCTCCCCAGCTAGGAAGGAGGCTGCTGTTACACTGACCCGTTTGTTGCCTGTAATTGGCACTTTTGTTGTTTGCTCTGTGGCTTACTCTGTGCCTGCTCTGTGCCTCGTAGCCTGGAGCCGAAGGCTGCTGCAATTACCTTGAGAGCAAAGGGCCCTCTGGTTCCGCAGTCCAGTGGGGACCTGAGTGTTTTCTCTCTGCTCTCTTTTCTTTGTTTTATTTTACGTATTTTTTTTAAATTTTCTCTTTAGGTTTCTGACTCCTCTTTGCTGGACTCCTTAAATCATACAGATCTTTACCTGCAAAGAGACTCCTTGCCCTCCCAGCCTACTCTGCTTGTATTTACATGTAAATATATATGCTGTGTTTTTTTTATAATTAGTAGCCCATAATTTGCTTTCTTGGCCTTGTGACTTCTTGATAAAAGGCTAAAACTATTCTTTTGACTTTCCTAGTGATAAATTGGCTTTTTGATAACCCATCTTCCCCATATCAGTGAGATGCACAGATCCATCACTTGGGATGGCTTGAAGCTCTCATTTGGACAACTTCTGTTTGACAACAGACTAGGCTGTCACACTTCCCAGCCAGTTGTAGGGTTTCTGTTGAGCCAGTTGGCTGGCTCCTGTTCTTCTGCTAGTCAATGGACTTGAGCTGTCACCCTGAGCAGTCAGCACCTTCTCTCGCCCTTAGGAGAAGTCAAATGAACATGGCCTTAATAGCTCTGTGATGCTGGGTTCTTCCACTAGAAGGCTTTCTAGGCATGTTGAATCTTAGATGGTTTCCCTGTAGGCTGAAATGCTGTAGTTGTCTTCATCTACAGTTTCTGCAGGAGAGGGTAAAATGAGTTCTGCTATCACTTTATTTTATTTTACACTTGAGTATTCTAATAAAGCTCAAACATCACTGTTCTGTTTAGAAAGACAGCTTACAAAAGTCGGTGATAGCTGCATAGGAGGGAGGCTAGGAAGGGAAGTGTGTTTTCATATTGCTCCCTCTATATTCTACAGGCTCATGAGTGCTCTTTCTAATGGCTGGACTGAGCAGATTAGAGGTTGGCAGACTGAGAGACGGTGCTTGTACTGGCAAGGGCCTTAGCTTCTCACTCCTCAGACCTGTGTCATGGAGTGATCATCTCCGAGACTTGGAGCAGGGGTGTTTTCTAAGGGCTCATTTAACATAGATGAGCTCTGACAGTGTTGCAAGCTATTTTGGGAAGGAATACCCACAGGACAGGTGTGCACCCTGCTGGGATGAAATACTCCTGCCAGCAGGCCACTGATTTTTTTGAAACAGCAAGACGAACCAGAAGGCGGCGGCAATGAATCCTGAAGTCTCCTTTTCTGAAAGATGTAAATGGATTCTTATGCTGAATTCTGGGTAATCTTTAAAGCATCAGGACTCTGTTGGTGTCTATGTATGTTTAATATGCTGGTAAGAATTACCCTTGTTGTCTTGGATACATGATTCGAAACAATTTCCAGCCTGCAAGGATCTCATAGAGATTCAGCAAAGGAGAACATGATTGAGAAATACTGCTCAGCATTGTGAGAGTAAAAATAAATTGGTGCCTTGGGGCGTGTGGTTTTTTTTGTTCTCCTTTAGCTGAGCAGTGAGCTCCCAATGTGCCTTTTCTTCCACATGTCCTGTAGTGTGGTACCTTGGAAAGCTTGAGTTGTTTCGGAGAGGTGGAGCGAGAGAAGTCCTGGTACGGAGCAGCCGGCTGGGAGCCACCCGCGCGCTGTGCTACCCGGCCTCGCTGAGCTGCTAGCCGGCGGAGGAGTCTGGCAGGCCGTCCTTGGGTTATGTGTGGGAGGGAGATGCTCTGGAAGCCGTAAGGCAGCAAACCATATCAATGGCCTTTCCCAATAAATGCTCTGCCTGGCCTGGATCCTCCTGGAAGAGAGGAGGGGAAAATATCTTCCCCAAAGCGAAGGCATTGCCTTTCTGCTGAGTAGACCTCCCATCCCACTCCACCAAAAAGCATTTTGTGTTCTCCACAGTCCCTATTTTGGAAATACGGTGCACAGCAAGCATGCAGCTCTAAAACTTGCTGCTACTGTTGAACTGCCAGGTAGCTAAACTGCCCTTTTAAGATAAGTACTTTGTTGTAAGCCTCCGAGACATAGTCGGTGGGCTCTCAGACAGCAGGTGAGCCCCTCTTGCTTTGGCAGGGTCTGGGGCTAAGGAGCACAGCTAGCTTCCCTCCTGTTGGGGATCATGGTAACACAACATCAGAAGGTGTTTTAAAGGTGACCTGAAGGACTGGTGCTGAGTTTGTGGTGCTGTGGTGGTCAGAGTAATCATGGTAACTCTATCCGGGGTATCTGCTCTAGTCCCCTGTAAATGGCACAAAAGTCCTGTGGGTTGAGTGCTCAACTTTTTGAAGAGTTGAGGCCTTGACAGAGAGCTTTTCTCCTAAATGTTTGTTCAAACAAGTGTAAACAAGTGCTTCAAGTAGTCTAAATGAAAATGTCTTCCCTTTGATAAGGCTGCTGCTCTTGGTGACTCATCCCTTCTTCGTTCTCGTGGTTGTCATCAGAGAAAGTCGAACATCTGAGGAGAACCCTGAACACCCAGTGCTGGTGCCTTTCGATGCATGTTTGATCTGCAGAGAGAGAAGAACCAGTGCTCTCCATGCAGCAAGGGCAAAAAGCCTCTCAAAGGGGCCAAGATCTGAACTTTGACACTTCTCGCAGGGACCTTTTTAACGTCAGATACTTCCACGGTTCAGCTATGGATGTGATCGTCTCAGCTTGGGAAGAGACAGGCTTGGTATAGGAAAGAGGGGAGAGGTGGTAGGTAAAAGCTGATGTGATACAGTATTTTTATTTTATATTCAGGTGGGGCTTGATCTCTTTGTAATTAGGTGAAGTGCCCAGCAGAGTTGTCAAACCTCACAGAAGAGCTTATCTCCGAGTCTCTGCCCTGGTGCCGCGTGGACCCTTGGGGCAGCACGGAGGCAGGTAGGAAGAGTCGAGGGGGTGTGTGTGAGGGGAACACAGAGCACTTGGCTCTCATTGCACATTGCCCGGTATGTTCAGCAGACGTGCCTTGACTGCTAAAGTGCTTTCAAAGAGGATTTCTGGTGGCGTAGCTCAGCTGAGACAGCTGCTTGAAGGGGATCAGAAATGCAGGAGCCTGGGTTCCTGCAGCCATGTGTCTTTGCATGTGGCAGGAGCTGTGCTTGCAGGTGGCTCGTTCCAGTCCCCAGTGCTGCACGCCACACGCGCAGGACGAATGTCACCCCCCTGTCCTCCCGGCTCCGGAGCAGCAGCACATCGCTCGGCCGGGGGGTTACGTGCCTGCTTACAGTCCCAGTCAGTGCACTTCTCCCTGACCGCAGGCAGGAGGGGTGGTGCCTGCAGGGGTGCTTCCTGCATCCTTCTCCTTCAGGGAAACATCACCCCAAAATAATTGCCACGGATTTGGCTAGCCTGCCTCCTTTGTGCATTCAAAAGCTACGTGTCCGTCCAGACACCTGAGTCCTTGTCCGTTTTCCCCTCAGGCTGGGCTGCTGCAATTTTGCTGCTGACTGGTGGGACGGTAGGAGTTATCCTCACCTCCCTTGCAAGCTGAGGAGCATGAAACGGTGCTCTGCCTCTGTCCCGGAGGTCGGTGGACTCGTCTGCATTGCCCAGGGGGATGGGAGGTGAATTTGGAGTTTGCTCTCTGGGTGCCTGCTGTGCCTTCCCCTCAGCCAGAGGCTCTGCCCCCTCTCCTGGCTACGGACGGGCCCATGTAAGCAATGCAGACCTGGGAGGCTGGCACTCCCAAAACGAAAACAAACCACAAAAATTGGGTGTGCTGCTGGAGTCTTGCTGGGAGCAGGAGCGGGTGCATTTAGATTTAGGTGGGTCAGAGGAGAGGCAGAGCTGGGGCAAGGCTGCGCTCCATAAAAGCTGGCCAGGAGCACGATGAATAGCACAAATACTAACAGAGCCGTGAGAACTCGTGCTTTGGGTCAGGAAGAGCATAGCAAGGCCTGAGAGCCACGAGACGGGGCAGCAGAAAGCCGTGGAGGCGAGAGGGGAGCAGCGCGGCCCGCGGCGGCGGGCTCCCGGCAGGCGGCGAGGCCCGCGGCACTGCGCCTCGCGCGGGGCTGTTGCCATCTGCTGG